GGTGGCAGGCCACATTGTGTATCCCGGCCTGCCACGGGACCTCGGCCATTGTCGGTCCACCTAATTATTCGCAATCTTCCGCTCGTTGTCGGTGGCTCCCATCCCCCGACTCGCGAAATTCCATCGCCTCTAAAGCTTCCCGGTCGGTCGCGATTCGCGCGATCCCTCGCCCTCGCGTTTTCCTTGTCCCCGCGACTACACTTTTACGAAATCAGATATTTCATGGCCCTCTTATGCGCTCAAGTTTGTGTATATTTTTGATGGCACAGAATCGGCCTCGAATATTTTGCAAACATGCGCATAAGTAAGACAAAATCGTACGCGTAGAGGAGAATTTTTAGTGCACGCTCGATCACATTCCTATCACGCGAGATGTTTAAACGAAATTAATTCATTCGTAATGTATGATATCACTTTCCGCTATTTCTCTAATCATTTCTCTGAAACTTGGAGAAATTATATCCCCGAGAGTATATTTTCCTACGATTTTTTCAAATTATTTCATGCTTGTAAATAATATCATAAAAGCATCGCTAATCACAAAAAGCAATAATATTGTGTAAATATAAAACAAACTTACCTCTGGATCATCCGATCCCGGGTGCTTGTATGCAAATATAGAAATCAACTTGTCGTAGAGGTTTACGCGTTCATACAGAGTTTTAAACGGGTTTCTCGTACTGAAGAAGTCGAGATCGATGTCTAAGATATACGGAGTATCCTTTTCAGGAAGGTACTGACGCAACATCGAGCCGATGGTTACAAAGTCATCTTTCTGCAACAGAAAAATCAGAAAATCAGAAAATACATATTATAATATACGCGTTAATTATATATTTTTTTAGATAACATTTAGACACTTCAATTCGTATATTACAACATTATATTACGGTAAAATTTTCTTAAATTTATAGAGATATATCAATTTTTCATAAGTACGGTACGTCGAGTGTACAATGTACATTTTGTATTTTTTCTTCAATCTACAAAATTTTTATGTCCCAATTTTATATAACAGTGAATGTAGTTTTACAAACGGTAGTATTTCCTGCACTTTTCATCGCCAATAGTCGTGCTATTTTAGTTATTTGTTACTGAAAGCGGGGTTATTCACTGGAAGCTATCGCGCAATGAAACACGAGTATTCAGTTCTGCGAATTAGCGACGCTATATTACTCAATCGTTTTTTTGACGCTGCTTGCTGCGCACCGACATCACTGGCGAAACGTTGACGATAATTACCAATAAAATGATCGATTGCCGATCGTTATACCGAGCCCACGGCCCGTTCGGTTCAATTTTCGAACGGGATCTGACCACCATAGGAACACACACGCGGGGCGGGCGGTGAAGAGAGGTCGGTCAACGACGTGCGCAACCGTTCGTATGAACCGGATATTGTTCGTAGCGGGGCAAAACGCGATGCTGCCCGCGTATAGAGGGTTTTTTGTGACGCGCAAAAAACAATGACTGCACTCGAATTAATTCTGTTAGAATTGATACTCGGCCCCGGTACTGGGATCGCAATTTGCATGCGTTCACAACAATGAAATACAACGGTGCGCGCGGGGTGAGCTGTAATACTATCGCGTGGAAGAGGGGAAAAAGGGGGGAAAGCGAGAGGAGAAGGGGGAAAAGGCAAAGCCAACAATCACCGTGGACAGTGGTTCTCAAAGCTTTTAACAATTTCGGTGCACTTGTTGACAATTGTTGGAGAGAGTATTTTTCAGCCAAATTGCCCAAATGTAAAATATTTGAAACAGCAAGACTGTACAAAAATTAAGTATTAATAAATATTTATTATATAAAAGTAATCTAATTATTTTATCGTGATAAATGAAACGCTTGACATACTGAATCAAAAGTTTTATTGATTTATCTACATTAAAATGATGCTAAATATTTTCCAACTTTTTTGTAATTTATTCCTATCTTTCCTTACATTTTGTCTCAAATCCAATCTATTCCAAAATCTATACCAATAAAAAATTTAAACTTATACTTTATTATAACACATTTCCTATGTATTTTTCTAGTTTTAAGAAGCAGATATTTAAGAAGCAGATATAATATTTGATATAAAGTGTTTTTAACTACTGAAAAAACATATTTCTTGCATTATATTATGCTGCCGAAACGTTTTTTCAATAACTAAAAGTATTTTTTTATCCGACATTACAAATGTGTGCGCGAATAATTATATAGCTTGAATGCAGCTGCGGAATTTCTTGAAGCGAAGCGATTAATTTTTTATGCTCTCGATCTGCCACATCGGCTGATAAGAGAGTGCGTTTTGCGCAACCTTCGCATCACGCTCTGCAGATGTTCATCGGTCTTATGTCTGATTTAATGCGACCATACGATCTCTGAACCAGATCGCTGCGGATCTATAATCCAATTGATGATGATGTCAACAAAAGCAATGTTCGCAAACGCGTCCATCATTAGAATTTTCTGCGAAGAAGTATTTTTCTTTTTCCCCTCTTTTTCTCAATCTATTAAATCTGTAGAATCTGTTTTCATTGTGTATAATTATATAATTTATAATAATTATGTAAAGTATTATTGAACATTTTGCTGGCTTTTTTATTAAAATAAAATTACGCACATAGTTATTTATAAAATAATTTTGTGTTGCATCTTTGCGCTCTGTTATATGATTACATATGCTAATATCATTTACAAATCTAGAATTTGCAATAAGTCGTATATTTATGGATCTTATGTAAAATAGTTTTTTGGAATATAATTGATGAGACAGAATCTTATTATTCTTATAAGAACCGTTCTGTAATAGTTATCATATTTTTGCAAATGTTATTAAGTGGTTTGGAATACCGCAAGAAGGCGGGACGCAGTAAAGCACATAATCATACGAAGTTATCTGCGATTTATGCTCGAATGATTTTTTAATTGCATTCTTATCTCGTGAGTTTGTATGAGTGAGGCTTACAGAGCGAGGCTTATATGCACAAAGACATGCAATGTTCGAATGATTCACAAGGTTGTATAATTCTCTTTGCAAATTGTGTCTCGCGAATTATGTCGGGCGAAACAAAGGAAAGGCGAAGTCGTTGCGGGCAGCACACGATAGCAATGATAATTATCGAAGGAATTTCCCTGCGTCATATTGTTTTCAAGTAATGTCTAATAGTTTTTTTTTTCTTTATTTAACTAATGCCTCGCAGGCACGCATTAACATTTGAAACTTCCTTCGCGTACAAGCTCCCCATTATACAACATGCACAGCATGCGAACAAATTGCATGCGCAAGAACTTTCCACTCAATACAGTGATTAATATTTTCGAACGAGACGTTATTACACTACACGTATATTTCATTCGCGATAGTGACCGTAAGTATCTAACTATTCAGCGTTGAATAATTCATCACATCAAGTATTTTCCTTCCCAGACATATTACTTTTTTTACGATCATCGTTATGATGATCATTTAGATTTATAAATCTACAATCCTCGACGTATGTCGTGTTAATTTATTATTATTCTCTTAGCATTATATACTGTTATTATTACGCACAAGAGAAATACAATAGAATATAAAAATATTCTGCACTGTTTATAATTGTTGATTGTAATACAGAAAAGCGCGTAAAGCGAAATGTCATTGCCGGCTAAATTTAAAATCGCTCGAGCGCGAAAGTCGGACGTTGCACCCGGCGCGAGTGCAATAACGCGATAATCCGTCGATTTCGATTTCGGCAGATATTTTTGTCTGTGCAAGTGCTTCGGAATTAACACACGATTGCGATAGCGATACTTTTACACATATGAATCATACAATAAGATAGATGTTACATAAATATTTGAGAACTGCGCTTTCAGTCTTGCATAATTTTGTGTGCAATAATTTTAAATGCTAGCATTAATAGTGATATAATAAATGAAGCTAATTTCGCAAAATCAATTACTTTTCAAAATAATAATTATTGTATTAATCTTTTAATATTAAAATATTTCTATTTCTGTAGAGCGTAAAATTCTATCTGCATCTCGTTATTTCACCATTCTTGAAAAAAATATCTGCAATTTCTTAACAATGCAAATTCTAACAAGCGCTTACGTGCATTTCAAAGAGCCAGTCTGCTTTCGTACAAATGAATATGTTTGAACAACACGAAACGAGTCTCGCGAGAAGCACGTGGCCCCTCGCAAAAGACTCAACATCTATATGTATGTGTACTATGCGGCAGAGATCGCCGGTCACACCACTGTCGCGATTGCAATTAAGGCGAGCAGTGCCATATGCAAATGGTCGCATTGTCTTGACCCAAAGTGGCACGATCTCGGTCGACTCATTGTGTTTTCACGGACAGCGATGGCAGAGTAAAGCTTCGCAAAAATCACAGCTTGCTAATTTACATCGATTGCACGTATTGTACGAAAGCGCGAAGAATTTTTCATTAAACGAGCTTTTGTTCTTCCAAGAAAATTTAGATAACTGCGAGAAATAATTTAAAAATTAATCCCGCACTGATGCGAATCGAACGAGGCAATCAGGACGAGAAAATTTTCTGATCCTCCTCTCTTATTATTATCTCGCTGAAACTCTTCGGTATAATCGCAAAAAATAGATTGATCTCAATACGTGACAACGAGCCAACATCCGCAACCACAAATCATTCGTCGATCCGATATGCAATCGCTCGCGAGCTCGCGAATCAGTGCAATGAGACTGCATATAGCGAGCGTTACGCAAGCGACCGAAGTAGACGTTCAAGATTCGACGCAAAAGTCACGTTTTCATGACGTTCCCGTGTCGCGTTCCGCTGACCTCGCGCTCACCCTCGCGCGCGCCGATAATTAATTAATACGTGTTACGCAACGTGTGGGCGGCGCCCACGCTCGATGACGCTCGTATTGAATTAGCAGGATTTCAAACGTTCGCCCTCTTGCGCTGGCAGCGTTCGCCACTCGTCGTCTTTCGAATCGCGAATCCACCCGCGACAAACGCAATCAACGGCACCGCGTGAGCGCCCGAGGTGCGTCCGTGCGCTCAGTCGGGCGCTATCGCGGCCGGGTGTCGATCCTGACGCATTGTTCTTGCACAAGGAGAATTAGTCTCGCGGACGGGGCCAGACGGCGCGTTAATTAAAACAATACCCCCCGTCGGCGCGTACACGCGCAGAAATTCGAATTCCACGCATATGTCAAACCTTTACTCTCCACACGAGCCACGCCCTCGTACACGTTTTCTCTTATGTGTAAATTAACCTTCCACACGCGCACACACACTCATACTATATTCAAAATCTAACTTCACACTACTTACAGGGTTAATCATACAATTTTCATTGTTCAAGATACTGCGTAATTTTTTCCGACACGCAAATGGAACCGTTTGTGCCTAGGAAAACTTTATAGCGATTTTTATTTGCTTGTTCGATCTTCTGATTTAAATTACAATGTAAAATAATAATTTTAATAATAAACATTTTCAGGGATTAATTTCCACTCATTAAAAATAACATCTTTTGTCGTTGTTCAAAGATATTTATATATATATATATATTCAGAGATATACGATTAAGTTTCCAATCATAAATCGAAATATCTCAATTATTCAGCTGCATATTTACGAGCTAAAGTGCTATAAATGTGATGGATGGCTTCCTTCATCCACTCATTTCTCCAATTATAATTACGACGAGTGGAGAACGGACGCCAATTAAAACGGCGGAGAAGCATAGGAGCATTCGCGCGTAAACGGAACAAATCCCGACGAGGAGTTAATATAAGTCCGAAAGCATTTTC